GAAGATAACGATTCCTCGAATCCATCCGGGCTTCCCTCCACTAACTCAAACAGTTCTTATCCTAACACTCCCGAACCAACTTCCTCATCTAACAATCCATCCAAGTCAGTTGAAAATCAATCACAAAAATCTCAATTACAATCTCAAATCTCTAATTTAGAAAACAAACCCAACAAAACTCCTCAGGAAGAACAGGATTTAAAGGATAAAAAAAATGAATTAGAGCGATTAAATAACCAAACTCCTCAACAATCTCCTCAGTCTGAAAATGCTAAGCCAAATAACTGATTGCCACCAGTGCTAATTGTTAGTGGAGTTATCTTAATAAGTTGATATCTAATTTCTAAAAGTAAAAACAACAAGCATTAATTACGATAAAAATATTAAACAACAAAAATAATTATTTAGACATTAATTTGGATATGTTATGTTAGTCCGCATCCTAGTTAGTTATTAAAAAGAAAAGTAAAAACGTTGAGGAAATTGATGAATATTCGGGAGGAGATGAAAAATATTTCAAAATCAAAAAAATATGATGAAAATTCGTTAATTACTTATAAAGAAATTTTTATCGTTGTCGGTTAAATCTTAAAAAAAATCAAAACTCGCTCTGTTAATATTAAATAAAATATAAAATATTATGGCAGTTCCGTTTCGGAGAAAATCCTCTACTCGAATTAAAAAAGGTCGTAGCACCAAAAGTTGAAATTTTCATCAAAAAGCACTTCATCAACCTCTAATTGAATGCACTAATTGTCAGAAAATTAAGTTGCTTCATCGTTCTTGTTCGCACTGTTCGGTTTATCGGGTTAGTTTGCAAGAGTCAAGTAATTAGTTTAAATATATAATATATATATAGAAAAATGCTGAATAATATTGATAGAATTAAGCATTAACATGAAATTAATATAGAATAAAATAATAAATATTAGTATGACAAAAAAAAAAATTATATTTACCAAAGTTAAAATTGATAAAAATGAGGGGGAAAAAGTTGAGTTGTCGGTTAAAGAGTTTGATTTTTCATTAGAAGATAACAAAAAATTTAAAATTAATAAAATTATCATTGAAGGTTCCGCAAACGATGATGGAGAAATTGAAATCAAAAACAAGGGTGATTTGGATACACTTTTAGGTGGTGAGGAAAAAGAAGAAAAATTAAAATTGAGCTTTGAAGATGACGAAGTAGAAATAGAGATAATTGAAAAAAAAACTACAGCAGCAGCTACTAATGCTAATATAGCAGTAATGAGGGAAGAAGAAGAAAAAGCTAACTTCATTAGAATTGATGAAGCGAAAAAAACTTTATTTTTTAAATGAAATCCTGATTTAATTAAACTTGCTAAACATAAGAAAACTGACGAAGACAGCGATGAAGAAGATACTAATGATGATGATTCATCAACTTGTCAATCAAAAGTTGAAGAAATTAACAAAATAATGACAAGTGAAAAAGTTACAGAGGGAGAATTAGTTGATGAAGATGAAGCTAAAACTAATTACGAAAAATTAAAAAACAATGAATTAACTGATGAAAAATTGAGAAAAGAAGCTGGGAAAATAGTTAAAGAAGGTATTTATAAAATATCAGCTGGGAAAATATTTTCTGATTTAAATACTCGTGTTGATAAAGCTATTAATGACAAAAATGAGACAGATCTAAATAGTTTAGATAGCGAATTAGATAGTTTTATTAACAATAATAATTACAAATCAAAAAAGGTAGATGCTGAAACTTTGAGTAAAAAATTAAAACTTGAAATCAGCAAAAATAAAACTAGCGATGATGGTAATTGACTTTCTCGAAATTGGAAGACAGCGATTCCAATTACTGTGATAGCATTATTTGCTATAATAGGACTTTTGCTTTACTTTCGTCGAAGCAATAATACGGAAATCGAATAAAAATCAGTATTTTAATATAAAAAAAGGGAAAGCCTGCTTATAATGCCAACGAAGGTTTTTTGCAAGCAGGATGAGGAAAAAAATTATTCTTGTATTATTATTAAAGGTCACGCTAATTTTGCTGACGATGGTAAAGATATTGTTTGTGCAGCTATTTCAGCAATTACTAATGGCACTATCAACTTTCTTCAAATTAACTACGCTGATAGTTGCAAAGTAACCTATAATTCAGTTGAAATAATTATTTATTTACAAAATAGCAATTCTGAATGTCAATTAACTTTGAAATTAATGCTTTATCAATTAAAAAACATCGCTGAATATTACCCAAATTATTTAAAAATTAGTTAAGTCAAAAAAAATAATAATTTTTTTTCATAATTTTTGATTCTATTCTTTTGCTATCAATTAAATTTAGTATTTAAAACAATTTTTGCTTAGAGGAATTGGATATCCGTTTGGGACTGATATAAAAAATTTTTTAGAAATTGTTCTGATGATTATTTTCATCATTTTTGTTAGTTTATTTGATTTTCTCTTTTCTTATAAATTGTATAACTAAATTTTTAAGAACTTAATGTTTTTATTTTTTTTTCTTCAGCTAATATTAGTTTATCTTGATAATCTTTAACTAATTTATCGGCTTGCTTTTCGTAATTTTTCTTTTGATCTTTCGAAAGACTTCTTTCTTCTTTTAATCATTTTTTTAAATCTTGGTGAGTTAATCGGAAATTTTTTTTCCCCTCTTCGACAACTAATTTTGCTTCTTTGATAAGTTTTTCTTTAATTTCTTTAGTAATGGGAGTAAGAGTGAATACGATTTCTTCTTTAGTACTTCTTTCTACTTTATATCCTAGTTGATTATCCAAAATTACTTTGCTGATTAAAGGAATTGATTTAGTTTCAAAAGCTTTCGCGATTAATTCATGATTAGAAGTAATTCTTAAGCTTGCAACAGCTTTTAAGGTTTTTTTTTCACCTTGAAAGTTAATTATTAAACCGCTAATTGATTCTAAAGATATTTGGTTACTACGAATTTTTTCTAATTTACTAATAAAAAAATCTAATTCTTTTGTTAATTGATTAATTTTTTTTTGTTTAATTCCTTCTCAATTAATTTCCATATTAATAATTTTTAGAAAAATAATTATTTATTAACTATTTTCTTTTCAGTCCAATTTTATTGAGATATTTTTAATAACCTCTTTGTAATAAAATAGTTCTCTTTAAATATTTCAATGACTTTTTTTAAAGAGACTGAAATTAACAAACTTTCTAAAAAATACTAATAAGAAACTTAATGGCGAAAAACTTATCAAATTTATCAACTAGTTACAAACTCTCAACCCAAAAATTTAACTTTTGAACTTTATTTAGAAAATTTAGATTTAAGGTAATCAGACATTTTATTTCTTCAACAACTCTAACTTTAATCGGAGTTATATTATTAAGAGTTATTATAGAAATATTTCGACTTGAGGGAAAGCCCGATAGTTGAACAAACGTTCTATTATCGGAAAATATTCAGAACTTTTTAAACTTAAAAGACATTAAAATAAATGAAGGGAAATTTATTATTATTGGTTTATTATTGATAACAATTTGTGCCCTAATTTATTACTGAGATAACTTGTGGGAAGGAGAATTGAGTGTCAGAGGAGGACATTATACTAAAAATATTCTCTTAGAAAAATATCGTCGCTTACCTTTTGAAGAACAGCAAAATCGAAAAAATGAAATAAATAATTTGGTAGAAAAAGATTCGTGAGAAATAGGTTTTTTTTGAGAACATTTACCAAATCATATCTTCCATAGTACTTTAGAAATTATTTTTCTAATTCTCGTTAATTGAGGTGATTTAAAAAAAATGACAACTCAGCAAAGATTATTTTCTTTATTTTGATTAGGATTAATTAATATTATTGTCTATTATTTCACTAAATTAATTTTGAATAACGAAAGGAAGTATAAAAAAAAATTAGATGAAGAGTGAGGAGTAATTAATAAAGAAAGAAATAATATTGCTTTGATTGAGAGCATGGGTTTGAGTTCACAATACCAACAAAAACAAAAAAACATAACTCAAGAAAATGAACGATTAGTGCTTGATTATAACCGCACTAAATCTCTAAACAAAACTATTCCTAATAATTTATTGAATCGTTTTTTTCCATTTATTTTATTGGCATTAAGTCGAGATTTCAAAGGGACAGTTATGGTAGTTTTCTGAAGAATATTCGGAAATTTTAGTGATATTTTTAAGTGCTTATGGCAATATGCTGATTACAGAATTTCGCAAGAACGAATTTCTGATTTCCTTTTGCTTGAGGAAAAAAATGACAATCTTGACCAAAATAAATTGTCAAATGATGTTTCTATAGTAGCTATTAGAATGGAAAATATCTCTTTTCGCTACAAAGAACAAACAGAGTGAGTTTTAAAGAACTATAGTCGTGTTTTTATCCCTGAAAAGTTAAATCGTTTGATTGGCAAAAATGGCACTGGCAAGAGTACAATTTTGTATCTTTTATTAGGAATGGTAGCTCCTCATAAAGGAAAAATAATCATTGAAGATGAAAAAGGAAATCATTATGATTTAAACAAGGAAGTTAATCTAAAGCATTGAAGAGAAAATAATATTGCCTACTGTACTCACGAAACCTTAATTGAAGAAGGTTCGACTGGACAAAAACAATTAACTAATATTGATAACATAATATTGACAAAACAAGATTCTCAAATATTCCTCTTCGATGAAGCAGATAATGCCTTAGACCAAGAAAATCAAGAAAAAATTCAGGAGAAAATTAAAAAATTAGTCAATAACAAGATAGTCATTTATATTAAGCATTAGCGCAATAACTCCAATACCTCGCACAAGGATATTATTATAAAATCTAGTTGATTGTAGGTTTGACAAACAATCATTTCATTTTCTAAATAATAAATAAGAACTAAACGCTTTATTATGAACTAAATTCGCAATTTTAATGATCTTATCCGTGCCGACTTTAATAACAGACTATTACTGCAATATAAAAAAATAATGTCTATTTTTTTGGATTTATTTAGTCAATTAAAATTCTTTTTTATGGTGGATCTTGGAGGGATCGAACCTCCAACCGCCCGGTTATGAGCCGGGAGCTCTAACCAATTGAGCTAAAGATCCTTTATAATTAATATTTTTATATGGACGGCATATTACTTATTGACAAACCATCAGGAATTACTTCCCATAAAGTTATTGAAATTATTCGTAAAAAATTAGGAATTAAAAAAGTAGGTCACGCTGGCACATTAGATCCCTTAGCTACTGGATTATTAATAATCATGCTTGGAAAAGCTACTAAATTAAGTAATCAATTAATCAATAAGTGCAAAACTTACGAAGTAGAAATAAAATTATTTATTGAAACTGATACGGGAGATATTACGGGAAATATAATTAAGCACGAAAAACAGCAATTTCTAAGTAAAGAAAAAATTCAAGAAATTATCAATTCTTTTCACAATTATGAATATTGACAAAAACCACCAATTTATTCTGCCATAAAAATAAAAGGCAAAAAATTATACGAGTATGCTCGGAAAAATATTTCTATTGTAATTCCACCTCGATTAGTAAAAATCGAAGCAATTAAATTTTTAAACCACTCTTCTGAAACAGAAACAATAAACCTTTTAGTAAAATGTAGCAAAGGAACTTATATTCGGAGTTTGGTAAAAGACTTAGCAGAAAAATTAAACACAATAGCCACAGTTAGTCAACTAAGGAGGATTAGTTCCGGTAATTTTCACATTGATGATTCTCTAAAATTAGAAGAAATTGAGAAAAAAATAAGTTTTCATCTAATAAATTTTGAAAAAATTTAAGAAAACAATTAATACTTTATCTCCTTTACTGATATCTAACTTAGTTAATAAAAATCTTCCTTCACTAAACGAAAACTAAATAAATTAGTTAATATTAAACTAAGATCACATAATATATCATAAAACTATAATGCGAAAAAGCATCTAAGCTTAAATGCAGAAGCAGAAGTTTATAACGAAGTAAAAAAAACTTTTCCGGAGATGGGTTAGATATAGTTATAAAAGAACTATAAAAAGCAAAGAAATTAGGGAAGAAGATAAAATTTGAGAAGAAAGTATTACAGATGACATCAATGAGCAAAACAATTAAAAAATTTCCGAAAAATTTTTTCTTTGCTAGTTTTTCTGTTAGTTTATTAAAGATTTGAATTTTCTTTGATAGACTAGCCAACAATAGATGAGAATTTGTGCTGGCGAAGTAAATTCATTTTTTAAATCGAAATAGTTATTGATAACTTTTATCTATCTCTTTGTCAATCTTTTCAATTTCCTTATCAATTTTTTAATCTTTCGAGAACATTCCTTAATTTTACTCAAATAGTAAAACCCTCAACAAGCGACGACTATTGTGAAGAAAACAATTAAATATAAAGAGTTGTAAATATCCTTGGCTCAATCTAGTTTAAAAACCAAATCTGAAAGAAGTTGAATTAAAAAACCAACATCAATAATTGACCATGGAAGAACTGAATAATAATAAAATTGATGACAATATTTATCTTTCTTTTTCTCCCATTAATTTTTCTTTTGATTAAGGTTATTGTTATTTGTCAAGTTTTATTTTTAGTATTTTTGATGCAGAATAACGACTTATGAAGTAATGATCTGCCATTTCCCTATTGAGTTGCATTTTTAAGAGATCCATAATGGATCTGAAGAATAAAAGCGATAGCATTATCTGAATTCTCGACCTCTTTTTATTTCTTAATATTTTTCTATTATAATTATTTAAAAGTAAAAAAATATTCTACACGACTAAACGTTCTAAACTGTGAAAACTGCGATAGGTGATTGGATAATGTGTTAACATAATAATAAAACGGCTTATACTTCGTTTGTGATATTTGCAGCAAACCAGCAGACACGAAAGAAATCGAGAAAATCAATCAATATCTCTTTATTGAGGAAAACATTTGACTAAAATTAAAATATTACTCGCTCAAAAATATCTTTTATTCCTAATAAAGAATTAGGACAAAATTTTTTATTTGATAAAAATTGGCTAGAAAAAATAATTCGAATTTATCCTATAAAAAAAGATACGATAATAGTTGAAATTGGTAGTGGTTATGGCAGTTTAACTAGATTAATAGCTGAAACAGAATGTAAAAAAGTCATAAGTATTGAAAAAGATGAGAATTTATTTCAGTGATTATTAGAAAACAGCAAAAATGACAAAATTAATTACTTTCATAAAGATGCTTTGCAGATTAATTGGTTAGAATTTTGTTCTCCTTTTAAGGATAATTCGCTGATAATAGTTGGTAATTTGCCTTATTATATAGCTAATTCTTTGATTATTAATTTATTGTTTGAACATAATCTTTTTAAGTCTTTTTTTTTTTTAATTCAGAAAGAGGTGGGCCAAAAATGAGTATCTAGCCCTAATAAGTATTCTTCTCAATATTCAGCGCTATCAGTTTTTATTAATTATTTAGCAAAAACCAATTTTTTTTTAGAAGTCCCGCGAGGTGTTTTTAATCCTTCTCCTTCGGTGGATGGAGCATTAGTGTCAATCGAACCTTACCAGAATATCAATGTAACAAAAGAAAATTTAGTTTCTTTTTTAAACTTTCTAAAAAATTGCTTTCGTTTTCGTCGCAAAACTTTATTAAATAATCTTAACAGCTTTGCTGGTAATTTCAAAGAAAAGTGAGAAAAATATTTTTCTGAAAAAAATTATTTAGAAAAAATACGACCCCAAAATTTAACTTCCTTAGAGTACTGACAATTGTTTATTTTTTGACAAGAATTGTTTTAAATAATTATCCAAATAGCAAACTTATTTTTATCTAATTTGGTGTCGTTCTTTGTTGCGACGGAGCAGTTGTTTTTTTTCTTGGGCAAGAACAGCCGTAGCAGATATTTGCTGAGAATTGGTATCAGTTTTCTTATTAGCGAAAAAACCACGGTTGTTTTCAAAATGTTAGTGATCATGATTGAGGTTTATTTATTAGATCTATGCTTATTTTATAAATAAAATAATCATTATATTTAAAAGCCTAAAAGAAATAAAATTTTATGTCTCTCTTAATTTTTCCTTTTAAATTTAAGTATCTATCTCTTTTTGTTCGTAATCTCAGTTGTTCTAATTCTCTCAAAAAAAAAGATTTTTTAAACAGAGAATTTACTTTGATATTTTAGTTCGCTTATTAACTAGTAAAGAAGCCTGTGTAGAAGTTTGTTACCATAAGAACAAATTATAATTTTTGCAGAGGAGATAAATAAACCACAAGAAAGCAAAACATTATCAGAAAAAGATAAAAAGAACTAAAAATTATTAATGAATTTTCCTAATAGACCTCGTGGCACTCAAGATATTTTTTCATCTCGTGCCTTAATTTATCAAAAAATTCAACAAATAATTACTAAAATACTCAATAATAATAATTATCACTCGGTAATTTTTCCTACTTTCGAAGTCAAAGAACTGTTTGCTAAATCCCTAGGATCAACTACTGACATTATCCATAAGGAAATGTATATTTTCCAAGACCGAAAAGGAAGAGAGTTAGCTTTAAGACCCGAAGGAACTGCTAGTGTCGCACGATTAGTTCTCCAAAATAAATTGATTAAAGAAGGATATCCTTTGAAATTGTTTTATTGAGCTAATATGTTCCGATACGAGCGACCTCAAAAAGGTAGATATCGGGAATTCTGACAATTAGGAGTTGAGTTAGTAAATAGTAAGGGAGTAATTGCCGACTATCAAACTTTGAAATTAATTAGTGATATTTTAGTCAGTTTAGGAATTAATGATTTTACTTTTAATTTAAATTATTTAGGAAATAACGAAACCAAGGAGTTATACAAAGGTCAGTTGAAGGATTTTTTTAAAGGAAAAGAATCTAAATTGTGTGATGATTGCAAAAGAAGGTATCTAACTAATTCTTTAAGAATACTTGATTGCTTGAATTGTCAAAAAAATTTTCCCTATCCTTCTTATAAAAAATCTTGAGATAAGTATGATCTAGATTATGTGAATGAACTTAGTCAAATTCTAAACAAATTTAAGTTTCCTTATCAGTATAATTATCGTTTGGTTAGAGGACTTGATTATTACACTGGATTAGTTTTTGAAGTTGACCTGGGGACTGAAAAAGCAATTTTAGGCGGCGGAAGATATGATAATCTTTATCAGGAAATAGGGAACAAAAATATTCCTGCACTCGGATTTGCTATTGGGATAGAAAGATTAGTTGATTTTCTTCAAGAAAAGAAAATGTTAGAAATTAATGGTCATGTCGATGTTTTCTTTTTTGCTTGTGACTCAAATGCTTATCTTGACATCTTATCTTGAAAAAGCTCCTTGGCAAAGAACCAATTGGTAGTAGATTATAATTTAGAAGTCAGAAAAATAAAAACTGTTCCTAAAATTATTGAATACCATCAACCAAAGCTATTGATTTTACTTAATCAAAAAGGAGAGAATGACGAAGAAATAATAATTAAAAACTGTCAAACTGAGGAAAAAGAAGAGTTTTTGGTGAAAAAAAAAAACTTAGTTGATTGAATTTATAATTACTTTAAAATAATTAATAACGGCTAAATGTAATTAAAAAAAATTTTGTCACAAAGGCAAAGAATAAATAAACAAAAATCTCGCCACTTTATCTTAATTTAAAACAAAAAATATTAACAGCAAAATATTTTAAACACCGAAATTAACTTTTTTATTTAAAAAATAAGGTGAAATTAATTTTAATCAAAAAATGACGAACAAAAAGTTAAGATTAGAAATAAAAAAATTAAGCATTAAAAAAGAAGAAAAATTAATTCTTGATAATCTTGAATTAGAAGTTCTTTCTGGTGATAAGATAGTGATAGTTGGAGAAAATGGAGTAGGAAAAACTACTCTCCTAATAGCTATAAATAACAAAGATTCCTTTCAAGGAAAAATAAATTTTAACGGAACGATCGGTTATCTACCACAAACTTTTTCTGAATTTTCTGGAAGAGGAGTTATTGAACATCTAATTATTGAATCCCAGAATTCAGTTCTTATAGATCTATATTTAAAAAAGGTCAAAAAAGAAATTCCTGAAGACGAATTTTTTAAAAATGCTAACGCTTGCGGATTATTTGAAATCATCAAATACATCTCTCGAATTGGTTTAAATCAAGATATTTTGAAACAAAATTTTGGAAAATTAAGCGGAGGGCAAAAAACAAAAATTCATCTTATTTCCTTACATTATCAAAATCCAGACTTATTACTTCTTGATGAGCCCACTAACAATCTTGACGATCAAGGAAAGGAATGATTGGAAAAATTCTTACACGATTACAAAGGAATTGTTATTTTAGTCACTCATGATCGACAATTAATAAACAAAATAGCTAATAACATATATGAAATTGATCCAGAAACAAGAAAAACAGTTCATTTTCATGGAAATTATCAGAATTATCTTAAGGAAAAAGAAAAATATTATCAAAGAGCAAAACAATTAAGAGAAGGTCAAGAAAAGGAGGTGAAGATAATTGGCAAGAAAATAGAAAAAATTCACTTACATAACGAAACTTATAAACCAAAACCCAAAAATGAAGATAAAATGTCTTTTCATCATCGTGGCGAAAGATATAAAAAAAGTCAAAAACGAATATCTAATCAATTAAAAGGTAAGAAATCATTTATAGTAAGTAATTTTACTTTTGTTCCTTCTATGTCTCGTCGCAAATTTGAAGTTGATTTTCTCCAAGAAAAAGAAAACAAAGATATTAAAATAAAAATTGAAAAAGTAAGTAAGAAAATAGGTAATAATTATTTATTTAAAGATTTATCTTTTGAAATAAATTCGGGTGAAAAAATTCTAATTAAGGGCAGGAATGGAGTAGGAAAAACTACTCTATTAAAAATAATTTTGGGCTTAATAAAAAAGGATAGTGGGAATGTTAAATTTTTGCCAAATGAAATAAAGTTAGGATTTTTAGATCAAGAGCAAGAAAGTCTAAGTTTGCAGCAAAATATGATTGAGTTTCTAATTTCTAAGTTGGGACCTGAATTGTCAGAAGAAGAAGTAAAAAATAGATTAATTAATTCTGGGATTTTTCATCCCCAAGAATTGTTTTTAAGCATGTCAGAACTAAGTGTGGGGTGTCAAAGAAAAGTCCAATTAATTAAAATAATTTGAAGTAATCCTGATATTTTGATTTTAGATGAACCTACTAATCATATCGATTTATACAGTTTAGAAAAAATAGAGAATTGATTGAAAGATTTTCCTGGATCAGTTTTGGCAGTTTCTCACGATCAATATTTTTCTGATAAAATTTGTAATAAAATAATTGATATTACTGATTTTGTTGCTTAGATAATTAGTTTTTTTTACTAATATTATTCAAAAAAGTATTTTTTCAGAACTTCTGGTATTTCTAATTTATTTTCTTTTTCTTTGTAATAATATTCGCACAAAGTTATAATTAAACGATCTACTGCCAAAGCAGACCCATTAAGAGTGTGTGGATAATATTTTTTACCTTCGCTACTTTTTACTCTAATTTTACCACGACGACTTTGAAAATCCTCACAATTACTGCAAGAAGAAATTTCTAACCATTTTTTGCTTACTGGCAGTCATACTTCGATATCGTAAGTCTTCGCCGAACTAAACCCTAATTCCTCATGACAAAGCTCAATTACACGATGCGAAATTTCTAATTTTTTTAAAATGTTTTGAGCATCATTTAATAATCCTTTTAACTCCTCATAAGATTTTTCTGGTTTAGAAATTTTTACTAATTCTACTTTATGAAATTGATGCAACCGAATTAGACCTTTATTTTCTTGACCCGCTGCCATTCTTTCAGCACGAAAGCAGGGACTATAAGCACACAATTTTAGAGGCAAATCTTCCTCATTTAGTATTTTTTTTTGGTAAAGATTAACTAAACTAACTTCGGCTGTCGGAAGTAGATAAAAATCGCTGTCTTCTAATTTGTAAAGATTATCTTGAAATTTATGAAATTGACCAGTATTGTAAAGATTATGAGCATTGACTAAATAGGGAGTGTCAAACAATTGATAGCCACGAATTCTATTTTCATTTAACATGAAATTAATAAGAACATGTAATAATTGACTACCGAATCCTTGATAAACAGCAAATTTACTACCCGAAAGAAGAACACTCTTTTCTTCATCTATTAGAGATAATTTTTTTAATATTTTTTCTTGGGTTAAATTATGTTCAATGTTGTGTTGGTAATTAACTTCGCCAACAATTTTGTTTCCCTCTTGATTGCTTGGATTATCACGATTAGGAAGATTAGGAAGAATATTTATTAAATTATCCAATTTTTCTTCTACAATTTTTAACTCTTTTTCATAATTAAAAATATCTTCTTTTATTTTCCTTACCCTTTGAGCATTTATCTCTCCTTCTTGACTTAATTTATTTTTTTCGTAGCGTAAATTATTTATTTTTTCAACTAATTGCTTTTTGACTGACATTTTTTCTTTAATTGCTGTTAATTCTTCTCTTTTTAATCCACGTTTTTCTAAACCATCAACTAAATTTTCAAAGTCAGAAAAAAACTTTTGTAAATCTATCATTTATTTAATTTTTATTTTTTTTTCTTCCGGCAAAACAAAAAAATTCCCACTATTATTAAAATTAATAATATATTAATCTCTTTATTTATTAATTATTAATTTGAGAAAATAATCATCACTCATTGCTATGCCAACATTTGAAAATAAGTTTTTTGATCAAGAGGAAAAAAACTTGACAGATGAGGAAAAATGAGAGAGGCTTGAAAAGACTGGCATTCTCAAAAACTGAGGAGGAGATAAAGTAATTATTGATAATAATGCAGGAGTTATTAAATTAATTAGTAAGGTTGATGAAAAAGAGGAAGCAATAGCCCTCAGCAACTATAAAAAATTTGCTGGTAAAAAGTTAGTTTTTAAGAATTGTTTTAATCTAAAAATAATTGAAGCTAATTGTTTAAACTTAACTGGTTTAGAAGTTGAAAACTGTCCCAATTTAGAGCATTTATCCGCTTATAATAACCAATTAGAGGATTTAAACTTAACTGGTTTAGAAAATTTAAAGTTATTAAGAGTCAATGATAACAAATTAAATTCAATCAATTTAAATTCATGCAAAAAGCTCGGAAGCCTTGATGTAAGAAACAATAAATTGTCAATTTTGGAATTAGATGATATTAGCGAATTAACTTATTTAAATTGCAGCCGAAACAATATTAAACTTTTGTCACTTAATAGTTTAACAAAATTAGAGACTTTGCACTGTTATTTTAATAATATTCTTTCTCTAGATTGCAAGGGTCTAGTAAATTTAAAAGACTTGAATTGTCATAATAATAACGATGCTTTTTCTGTATTAGGTAAAACCCATTTTTTAAGACTTTCAGCTTTATCAATTGGGGACTGTAAGAATTTGGAAAAATTGGATGCAGCAGAAAATGACTTGACGGATTTTGAAATATATAATTTTCCTAAATTAAAAGTGATTTCTTTAAAAGAAAATCAACTCATTAATGTATCATTAGAAAAAATATCCAATTTGAAGTTCTTGGATATTTCCCGACAGTTTAAAAGAAACTGAGACAATAGCAATATGCTCGAAATTCACACCAAATTTTCAGTGAAAAAAGGAGATGCACCTGATTTAAAAAACTTTTTCTATTCTCGAGGAGCAAAATTCTTTACCTTTTCTGATTATGATGACGAAAGCACTTATAAAGAAATAAAAAAAAAAACAATTAGAAAAATCTTCCCCAAATTAAAGAAATTTGAATGCTCAACCGGAGAAACTCATGATTTTGAGAAGTATCTTGATAAATTAAGGAGAAAAAAGCAAGCCAAGAAATTAAAAAAGCTTAGAGGTAATAAACCTAATGACTCCGGTTATGCCAGCGAAGACAACCAAAACGATGACGAGGAACCAATCATCACCGATCCCTCGCAAATAGAAAGTGACTATCCTGATTTATTAGCTTTATATGGCAACGAACCAGAAATCACCATTCCTGGTTTAGGTTTAGCTGGTAAACTAATTATTGATGGCTATCAAGGTTATAAAATTAATGTCGGTAATAATCGACTCTTGCGTTATTTGGTAGTCAAAAACTGTCCTAATTTAACGACTTTGAGATATGCTCATTGTGGTTTAAAGCATGATGCTTGATATCATGAGAACAATCCTAATTTAACTATTATTGATAATCATAATTGAGATGGGGGGATAGAGTGAGGCAATCCCGAAGAGAACCAAAAAGATGGTAAGAAGGAGTTTAATCAAAAGTTAAATAAAGCACGTGAATTTAAGCAAAAACTTAATCAGAAAGTCAAAACCCTCTTAGAAAGAATTGAAAAAGGCGAAGCCAACGGCTTTGAACAATTTATCAACTCTTTTTGAGGTCAAGGCTTTGAAGCGGTTTTTGCTGATTTAACTAAAGACACCCAAACCCAATTTAAAAAAACTTTTGTGCCGAAATTAGAAGAAAAAGTTCAGAATTTAATTAGTAATTATTCCAAAGATAAAAGTTGATTTCTCACCGAGGTTGCTAAATTAAAACCTTTTTTTGCTTATTTAAGTGATGATTTGAAAAATCAATTAACTAAATCAGTTGAGTCTATTGCTTCACCAACTGTTAATTATGTTCTTTTTTTGCCTTTATTTTTATTTCTCGCTTTTCTAATGATATGAATTGCTTTATTTAGATTTTTAAAAAAGAAAATTACTGAAAAAAATTAAAATTTTTCCTAAATTAATGATCCTGATGATTAAATAAATTTGGTGGATCCAGTCGGATTCGAACCGACCGCCTTCTGTGTGCAAGACAGATGCTCTACCAAATGAGCTATGGACCCTTTCTGTATATAGTATAATTATAGAAAAATATGAAGTAACTTTAAAATTATGTTGTGCAATAATTGTTACAAAAAACTCCCAGAAAGAGGAGGATTATCATATTTACTGCAAAAAATATGTCATTAAGCAGGAAAAAGATTGAATTTTTTTGACCGTTTTTATTTCGCTAGTGATTAGTTAAAATTTTTATCAGTATAGCAATAATTATTTATATAATCATCAAAAAAGTAACTAATTACTTTTTTGATGGAAAAGGAATATCACTAATGATTTTTTCTAGCAATAAGTCAATATTTTTCCCACTTTTAGCAGAGATCAAACAAATATCACTTTCTTGACAATTTAATAAATCAATTAGTTGATTTTTCGTCATTTCTAATTGAGCAGAAGGTAGATCTATTTTATTAATCACTGGTAAAATTTTCATGCCAAGATTTTTAGCAATTTGATAATAAGCCAACGTTTGAGCCTGTATTCCTTTAGTAGCATCAACTAAAAGTATAACCCCTTCGCATGCTGCTAATGATCGAGAAACTTCATACATAAAGTCAACGTGTCCGGGAGTGTCAATTAAGTTAAAAATGTAAGGATCAACACTTTCTGGTTCTTTTTGATAATAGTATAGTTGAACTGCATTTAATTTTATTGTTATTCCCTTTTCTTGTTCTAAAGAAAGATTGTCTAGAATTCTTTCAAAAGATTTATTACTGTTTTTTAAATTAGTTTTTTCCAATAATCGGTCAGCTAAGGTAGATTTTCCGTGGTCGATATGAGCGATGATTGAAAAATTGCGAATTCTCTCTTTTTTAATAATCATATTATATTCAAAATTTTCAATTAATTCTCCTCATTATTGATATTCTATGATAGTGTGTATCAAAGGTTTTTCTTTGCTTCATTCTTTTAACAATTCTTTTTCTACATAAATTTTAATCTCTTCATCCCATTTCAATTTTTTTTCTACCATATTTTTCACAAACTCCGAAATTCTTAACTTTCAATTATCGAACATTTTTTCGTATCTTTTCATGTTAATAAAACCATAAGTAAAAATATAAGGAGGAATAATCAATTTATTTTTTTGTTTGTCTCAAAAAATAACTAATAAAATAAATCCTCCTCCTAACATTGTCGTTCTTAATCGTAAATGATTACTTAATTCATCGATTGGAAGCAATTTATTATTAAAAACATAATTAGGTTGAGCAGATAGTTTTATTTGACTCAAATAAAAATTTTTATCTTTGGCTTCTATTATCTCTCCATTGTCACAAACGAAAATATTTTCGTTTGGTATACCTAATTCTTGAGCTAGATAACCATGTTTTTTTAACATTCGAAAATCACCGTGAAAAGGCATAAAATGACGCGGTTTGACTAGAGTAATCATTAATTTTAAATCTTCTTGACAAGCATGTCCGGAAGCGTGAAGTAAATCATCCTTGCTATTTTGATATATTTTTGCCCCCAGAGAAAACAATTTATTACTTACTATTTCTACATTAATTTTATTATCCATAATAGGAGAAGAAGTTAAGATGATTGAATCTCCGGGAGCTACTTTTCAATCAGGATAATTTTGGTGAGCTAGTCGACTTAAGACTGCTTTTTCCTCTCCTTGAGAACCGGTACAAAAAATAATTAGTTTGTTATTAGGAGTTTTAGCGATTGCTACTGCTTTCAAAAAAATTGAACTATCTAATTCTCATAAACTAGCTTTTTGGATAACTTTCATCATCTTCATTAGCGAAGAACCTAATAAGACAATCTTTTTGTTGGTTTTTTTGGCAATTTCAATAACTTTCTTTAAACGATAAACATTGGAAGCAAAGGAAGTAATAATCACCCTGCCAGTTGCTTCCATAATGATTCTTTCTAAGCGATTAACAACCTTGGTTTCGGAAGGAGTGCTTCCCTCAACTTCGGCATTTGTTGAATCACTTAATAATAAGTCAACTCCTTTTTTTCCTCATTCAGTTAATTTAATTAGGTCGAATTTTTCTCCAATTTCAGTTCAATCAAATTTAAAATCACCAGTTATTACTATTCTGGCATCATTTTCGATAATTTCAATTATCAAACCAAAAGAACCGGGAATAGAATGAGTTACCCGGAAAAAATTAACTCGAAATTCTCCGGTTCGAATTACTGTATCATCTTGAAAAATGATTGTTTTATACTTTTTTTCTCCACGCAGTTTTTGTTTCAAAAGTGAAATCGAAAATTCCGAGCCATAAATTGGAATGCTAGGAATTAATTGTAATAAATAAGGAATACCACCAATATGATCTTCATGACCATGAGTGATAAATAAACCTTTGATTTTTTGTTTTTTTTCTAGAAGGTAAGAAAAATTAGGAATAGTTCCGTCTGCCAAATTACTGCCATTAAGAAATTTAATGCCACAATCGACAATAATTATATCGTCATTTTTTTCTAAAATATAGCAGTTTTTTCCTACTTCGTGTAGACCACCAAGAGCAAAAATTTTTAAATTATTTTTCATATTTATTTAGTCTGAACTTTCTTTCTTAACGAAAAAAAAAGAAATAATGAAAGTGAAGTAAAAAAAAATACTACTATCATCAAAATAAAAATTCTTCCTTGATTGCTAGTAGATGAAAAGGTTTTTGCCGTGCTCTTTTTTTCAAATTCCCACCCATAATCAGATAAACCTCCAAAAAAATTTTTTTCAACTTCTTTAGCACTCATTTCTCTTCATTCTCCATCGCGAGGTGGTTGATTTGATTTCTTTTTCACCCATTTCTCTTTGCTCATATTCTTCAATTCAATTTCTTTTTGACTAATTAGTTTAGCATTTTCCGTAAGATTGATTTTTCCACCAAATTGTGGTTCTTTTCCTCAATTAGTAATTTTGAGAATGAACATACGAAGTTCTTCATACTTCCTTATATAGAATTTAATTTCTTCTTTATACTTGCTAGTTTCTATCTTTGTTCGCCATTTTTTTCAATAATCGTTAGATAGGTACTTTTTTCACACATGATTTAATTTATCATCCCAATTTTTTTGATTTTTAACAAACTCAATTGACATGTCTTTAAATTTCGTGTCAGCAACTTCATTTTCCGGGTAATCACGAGAGAAGATACCATAAACTTCAAACTCATATTCCTTCATTTTTTGAGGATCTTTCAAAACATGATAAGCAACTGTAATTTTTTCTCTTAACTCTTCAATGTTTTCTATTTTCCCCTTATAATAATTAAGAGTTTGAGTTTTGTAAAATTTGTTAATTTCTTCTAGATTGTCACGATTAATCATAGAAAGACATTTTTGATAAGCATCTTCGAGATATTTTGAACAATATTCTTCTCGGGAAAGATTACCGTTGTTAATTTTATTTCTAGAAAAACCTAGAAGTAAATATCAATCCATTCCTTTGTATTCCATTTTAGTAATTCATAAGTAAATAATCAGTAGAACTTGGTGCGCTTAGGAGGAATCGAACCTCCGACCATTTGAACCGCAATCAAATATTCTTATCCACTGAACTATAAGCGCAATAATTAAATAATAAGTAATTTTATTAATTTATTTTTTTGCAAAAATTATTTGAATAAAAGTAAAAAAAAGAAATTTAGTAAGTTAATCCTTTTATTTTTTCTATTGATATCATTCTACTACTAGCGATGTGTTAATTTTTTTATTAAGTTCTGTAGATAAAGGTGGGCGAATGTAATTAATAGTTAATTTTTGTCTATCGAAATTTAAATAGGGGGGCGTTTTGATATTTTGTTCTAAACTTCCTTTGATAATCTTGTTTTCAGTCAAACCTTCTTCTTTGAAACTAATAGTTTGTCCCGGCATTACTTGATAGGAAGGACATTTTACTTTTTTTCCATTGACCAAGAAATGTCCATGGCTTACTCACTGGCGAGCAAAACCACGAGTGCTGACTAATCCTGAACGAAATACTAAATTATCTAATCGCGATTCACATTTTATTAACAAATTATCCCCAATGTTTTCCTTATGTTTTTTTAATTTAGTAAATAAATTATTCAAATGTTTTTCTCTTAATCCATAAAGATGAAGAATTTTTTGTTTTTCTTTGTTTTGTGAAGCGTAAATCGAGCAAAATCTTCTTTTGTTTGCACCATGTTGACCAGGAGGAGTAGTTCTTTTTTTACCTCGACTAAATTCTTTTTCATTTTCTAGAAGAGAAAAACCGAGGGCACGAGATTTTTTTCAGATTGGACCAAGATGTCTTGACATATATAATATATTTATTTAAAAAACGAATTTACTTTTAATCAACAAGAATCCCTTATTAGTAGCGACTTCACCAATCTTTTTGCTAAC